GGCTGGACTCTAGAGTGATGGATTCAGGATTTGCTTTCAGGTATTTTGATAGCCATTAGAATCAGTGTCAGTTCCCTCTCAAAGGTGTCTAGATATGGGGGAGAAAACAAATTTATCCATCATTTTAGAACAATAGCTGGTTGTCTCCCTTAGCTACAGGTGGGCACTACAGTATTGGATACCAAAATTTGAAGTCTTACATCTGAGCAGCACTTTCTGGTTAGGAATGAAATCATCAATGAGAAATAATTGTCTAAATAACTTCTTATATAGACTTAAACCTAATGTTTGAGAAGTATAATTCCTTGAACTCTTAAAGAAATATACTGGTAGGAAGGTATCTCCTGTCTGACATTGTTTCTTGTTATGTAGCCTTTAGCTATACATATGGACTCTTAAAAATTATATTGACCCCATTAATCTTTGGTTATACTTTTCTTTTGGGTGTTTAAGACCCTACAATTGGACCAGATAAACCAATTTATTTTTACTGTTAAGGTCATTTGAAGATCTTTTCCTCAGGGGTAACATGGGCTTGGGAGAAGCCCCTGGCTCCTTTCTTTTACCAGTTCCACCTATGTGAAGATAAGTCAAAGGTCCTGCTCGATCATGGCTGGCTTCACTTGGAAGCATGGAGGAAATGATTCCTCTGTGTTGACCCTCCTCTTTGTAGATTAGACACTGGTTCAAGTCCATCTTGTGGGGTCTCCTTGGCCTCCTTGATCAAGAGGACAGGTGACTCACCACAATTACAGGACATTTTGAGAGATACTCCTACTCCCCTGGAGTTAGTCAACCTTGGAAGGCAAGGGGCAAAAACTGTCCTTAAGTCCCTCTGACCAGATTAGTATAGGCCTCAAAGTATGGCTGTTAAACATCCAGATAAACCTTGACTAGATAAGTATTTTATTCCTTAAACTAGCTGACTAAACTAGGACCATAGAAATTTTAAGATTATGTGTATATTATTTTTGTCTCATCCTTTAAATATCATAACAAACCTACACAGACCTTCATCACTTCCTTAGGCTTTCTCAGTTTTTCTGTCTATTTTGGAAAATATCACCGTTCCCATATCCTTTTACATCTTTTACATTCTCATTTTCTTTTTTAATAATTATGAGACATAATAGCATTAACAAATAAATTTTCCATCTGTTGTGAGAC